ACTGTTTACAAAACTTCTGGATTCCGCCTGAGTTGGTTTTTGTTGAGTCGAACTCGCTAATGTGTCGTTTTTTTTTGTCTCACAAGTGACTATCGAAAATGCATTTATTTTGAAATAACACTGTAGCCTATACATCTTTAGCTATTTTAGTATTAAAATTATTCCTAAGGGCAGGTTTAAAAACATTTGAACAGTTAACTATTTAACCCTGGTTTAACGATCGGACCACCAAAACCGCAAATAGGGAACCATGGACTTAATTATTGACTAAGTGAAGGCGAACGGTTGTCGACGTGGTAACTACAAATTAAATATTTATTTGATTGGTGGACAAATTTTCGATCCAATTTGGTTTTGTTATGGTAAAGTTCTGCACATCGGGATACATCATGTGAAAATAAAACTGTTCATTTTACATGGAACGACTCGAAAAAATGGTTATTATATATTTGATACATTTATTATGAATTCTTCAAGAAAAAATTAGCTCCGTATGATGATAATGTAATGTTAATGAGTTTTTGGTATTTTTTGTTAATGTGTTTTCTATTATTCTTAAAACTGTCTCTATATACGCTTTTGTATATTATCTAATTTCTAATGTAATGTATTTGTTAATTTTTTGTACACACCCACATGTAGCATGCCTCTAGCAGCTTTGGACTTCCTTGGCATTTTGTTTCAATAAATTTGGATTTGAATGAATGATCTATGTAGATAAAATATTACGTATTCATAATTAAATATATAAAAAGTAAAAATATAACAATGCTTTGTATACCGGATATGTCTATTCAGGAAATTCGTTGGTTGGTTTTATTTTGCTTTGAAGATTATTTTCTCTTCAAGTTCGTTCTTATTCTACCGATCTAAATTATCCACGATTGTGATATACAGATATTCAAAATTTACTTATCTGGAGTATCTAAGGTCCAATAATAGTGAATTTTTAAAGTTACTTTAATATTATACAAGTTTGCTGCTAGAGTACTAAATGTTATCCATATTTTTAATATAATCCCCTTTAGCTATATAATAGCATTTTTGGATTTTAGTGTGTCGTTTAACAAATCTGATTTTTTCAAAATGTTGTTTTCGAAATTTGTAGTAAATAAACCACATCTCACACTGCAACTTCAACTTTGTTAATTTTAATGGAAGTTTACGCGTTTTCACAAATTACGCGAAAAATTAGCTACCTTACCAATTAAATTTTTATCTAGTTATTGACCCTTAGGGATTTGGTCTCCGTGTGTTTAATACCAAATTTTTGTTTCTCATAATTTTCCGTTGCAGCTTCTATCAGCTGAAATCCAAATCGCTTTAAACAAGATGCGCCAGTTCAAAGACACAGAAAAAAAAGGAAAGGACAACACGATGCCGTGTCTGCAAAAATAGTCCCTTTCCGTTTAGTTGATAGAAATACGACTGACCGCTAACCCCAGTGCAGCTGACACGAAACAACTTCGGAAAAAGACGTAAAAGAAGTTTATTCCCAGTTTAAAAGCTGATAAAGGTCCGCATCTCTCGCGGAAAAGGATTACCATCGCGTGGCAACTAGCCATTGCCGTTTGGGGTTAAGGGTTTTATCTTCGTGATATTGGAGTTATTCGTAAAAAGAATGAGGGAGAACCAACATTCTTCTTTGCGTAATTGCCGATCGATGCAATGAAACTACTGATATATTGAGTTTCCAAAGTTAAATTCTTCGCCTTAATAGTCAGTAATATTAATAATCCACGTTCTAATCTCTTCTTTATTGGTTTTTTTATGCAATCTTTGACATAATTAAACTGAAGTGGTCTTTTCTTGTATGAAAAGGCCGTCTTATCTACTTTTGGCTTTGTCTAAAAAGAAGACATCTAGTTTTGTGACTTTGAAATTGAAATTAAGAAATCTTTAACTTGGTTCTGATGACGCCTTAACGCAGCACAATATATTGCCAGTGTGAATTCAAAAGTCACTCCTACTATATTGAGTTTTTTTTATTTAAAATTAGAAGAAGTTATATCAGCATATGTAATTTTAAGCGTTTAATATATTTATTTTTTTCGAGATGAATATAAATTCTACTAATCGACTATTCATCAACTGCCTCCATTTCTTCTTGTCCAATGCGTTTTTTGTGCCTCATTCCATTCTTTTCTTTTTTTTCAAAATCTTGTCTATTGTTTCGTTCCAAATATTTCTAGCTCTTTCTCCGTCCAGTCGCTCTGCTTTTCTACATTTTCTGTTCTATGTGCTCCTGTTCTGGCATAATCTTTAGTTCTGGTCTAATATCGTCATTTCTAATTTTATCCGTTTTTGGTACTTGACTCTCCTCAGGTATATAATTTCGGCCTCACCCACTTGAAAGTTCTTAGTAGCTAATAGCGAATATTTTTTCTTTCTGACGCTGACGTAGCACTTTCATTATTTAACACTGGAAAGACGATTCCGAACAGATTTAGTTAGTTTCCTATAAAGATAGATGTTGAATCTAGACTCCTTTTCTTAATTTTTGTTATCGAAGCTCTGTCGACAATCGGTGTGGTTTCGGATAACTTCAAAAAACTGGCGGCAGATTATATACGCCGACTTGACACCAATATTCAGAATTTAATTTCTGGTATTTCAAATGAATTTCGATTAATGTGAAATAAATAAAGCACATGCAATTGCATATATTTAATGCGATGTAATCTCTATAGCCTTCATCCAAGATAACTTGTAATATTGATTTTAATTATAAACTGAATTTAATTAATAACTTAGACAATAGTAATTGCCCAAGAAACAGCACAACAACCCACAGCTGAAACTTATGACAAAAGAAGGTGACCATATATCAACCGAATAATTGCATATGTCACATTAGAGGCAGAAAGAGAGAGACAAAAAATACAAAGGGTCTCCCTTCCCTAAGGGCGGAGAGAAACGAATAGCGGAAGCCGGATCCTTTGAAAAATGACGTTCATTTCTCAGAAATGGCGAAGTCTGTTTCCAAAGTAAAGACGTCCCGGTGAAAAACTACCTCCCATGTTATTTACCGTAACTGATTCAAGTGTGATGCGAAGGAGGATGAGGGAGAGAAATAATGTCGCGTTTTCGATATATATATCTTACCCAAGAGGTACTTGGTCTAAGCGGAAATTCGACTAAATTACACCTCCATAAATTTTTTAAACACCTGGATAAACGAAACGAAAATTTTGTTATGCGAATATTGCTTAAGATATTCAAGGTACCATTAATATGCTAAATCTTGAATCTAATTTGTAAACATTTGAAGGGACATCCTCTTCTATACAGATAACGAAAAATTGATTGCACCGTAGGTTAAGACTCAAGTATGCAAAGTTACTTGACATTTGTTTACATTAGTACATCGCAACGCGAAAATTTTAAAAAATATGACAATATTCGATAATTTCTTGTCCCCTTCTTTGATTCCGAGAATCTCAGAATATATTTTATTAAAACTGATATTGAATCGAGGGTAGGCTAAAACTTTTAATTTTATTATAAGGAACCATATTCTTCGACCAATTAAGTCGCAAAGAAAACAAGTTTTCAATTAACTTCTACATCCAAAGTTTATAAAGGGTGTTTTTTTTCGATGTATAGTATTTAAGGTGCAATAAAACAACGATGGATTATTCATTTGACATTAATTTTATTTATCCGACAGATGATCTTGTGGCATTACATTTTAAATATGATTTCTGGTATTTGACTGCCACGGCTGGCGCGGATGTAGTCCAATCTGGACGTCCAATTTTCGATGACTTTTTCCAACATTTGTGGCCGTATATCGGCCATAACACGGCGAATGTTGTCTTCCAAATGGTCAAGCGTTTGTGGCTTATCCGCATAGACCAATGACTTTACATAGCCCCACAGAAAGTAGTCTAGCGGTGTTAAATCCCAAGGTCTTTTAAGGCCAATTCACAGGTCCAAAACGTGAAATTAGGCGGTCACCAAACGTGTGTTTTAATAAATCGATTGTGGCACGAGCTGTGTGACATGTTGAGCCGTCTTGTTGAAACCACATCTCCTGGACATCATGGTTATTCAATTCAGGAATAAAAGAGTTATTAATCATAGCTCTATACCGATCACCATTGACTGTAACGTTCTGGCCATCATCGTTTTTGAAGAAGTACGGATCAATGATTCCATCAGCCCATAAAGCGGACCAAACAGTCAGTTTTTCTGGATGTAACGGTGATTCGACATACACTTGAGGATTAGCTTCGCTCTAAATGCAGCAGTTTTGATTGTTGACGAAGCCATTCAACCAGAAGTGCACTTCATCGCTAAACAAAATTGGCTTATGAAGATCTGGAACAACGGCAATCTCGTTTTGGGCCCATTCGAGGAATTTACGCCAAACTGAGAATAAATCATTTGACAGCTGTTAAATCGGTTGCCATTTTTTCTAAGCTATCAATATTCAAATAATTTGGTAGACGTTTGTATCTATCAATTTGTTATTTAGTATCTCCTGCTGGCGTGAAACCGCATTCTACATATTTGTAGACCCCTTATTCATTAGAGGATATTTCATTGAATCAAGAACTTTGGAAAGTTAAAATAACCGTAAAACTTTGGAATTATTCTGTTTGCTCTGTCTGTCTCCGTGAATAAAGGAAAATTTTAGATGGATGCGAGAGTGTACAGAGTGTCCGGAAAACAAGGCTTTATATCATTTTGAGCTAACCCAAAAATGTGTATGCGAGGTGATGAAGACCTTGTCAAATTGAATGTATAAGTATCAACCTTAGTTACTGTGTTCTTAACGTTGATAATGGTAATCTTCTCAAACAACGTTTGGATAGACCAATTCATATTTTAGATTATGTTTTAATAATTTTGATTTTTTGGGCTATTTGGTAATAGAACCTGTGAAGTCTAAGACAAAAAAATAGCCTTTTTAATGGTTACTAATCCTAATTTGATGAATTGTTTTTTCTCGAAACCGCAGAAAGCCATATTTGAACATTTTTTTTTTGTTTCAGATTATTGCCTCCGAGATATTGAGAGGGGTGCACTTAGCTACCCATTCACCATGCTGATATTTTTTCTTTCTGGAATAGTGTTTGGCCTAGCCCATGGTAAGTAGACATGCTTTGAACAATTTTTGCTTTTTTCTTCGCCAGTGTATTACCCGTGGCGTTCAATAAAAGTTGAAATAAACATTAAATTGGAATCTGCTTAGTAAATGGTCCCCTCTATGTGGCAAATTTAAATTTTCTTTTTAAATAGGCAGAAAAACATCTAAGTTTATTATTATTATTATAATGTTTCTCTTTTAAATATTCGTCAAATCTAATCTAATGGGGTTGGATTGGGACTCCAATCGTAACCTGATTTGAAATTGTTGGTCTAGATTCTTTGATGTGAAAGTCGGAATGGGCAGAATTGCCACCGTAAACAATAGTCTAAATTTTCATCACTTAATTAGGAAATCCTCCTTCTCAGTTTTTACTTTATTGGTGAGCTTTTAATAATCGGGTAATAAAATTTGAAAAATAAAATTTATACGCACATAAATATTTAACGAGCTGAATTTTTAATAACGCTACATTTCGTTAATTACTAGAAACATTAAAATGCTTCCCTTCCAATATTTTTGCACCGGTGGATATTTTCAGATATAACGAAGGTACTAATAATTTAAAAACTCAAGCGAGCATCAATAAATATTTCTGCACGTTTGTCGAAACCGGTAACTGGAAAATTACATTTTCGATAATGAAAAAGTAATATGCACCATCGCGTTCAATAATGCCCTTAAAATTCTCTAATTTTTATAATAATATTAGTGTTATTGTTTGTAGGTTTACCATTTAACTACCACTTATTATTTCAATTAACAAACTTATAATTGAAAACTTCAACAGTTTGCTTTTTTGATGGCTCGATACTTACATTACATTACAAAAAATGCAATATTTTAATTAAAAAATACCAAAACAAATACAGAATAATACAGAAATATATATACATATATAAATATACATATATAAATATATATATATATATATATATATATATATATATATATATATATATATATATATATATATATCCGACTGGAATCCTGCATGCGACTGGAATCCTGCATCCGACTGGAATCCTGCATCCGACTGGAATCCTGCATCCGACTGGAATCTTGCATCCGACTGGAATCCTGCGGACGTTTCGCCAAAATTTCACTTGGCATCTTCAATGCTCGCGCTCCTAAAACACTTCGAACACTGGGAGGTTATCGGCGGTGCGTGCAGTATTTATACCCTGCGCCGGAGATGGTAACGGTGCTGCTTGTGCGTAGGGGGAGGTGGCTCCGTCTCCTGAATTGTCGCGTTGTTAATTTCGCCCGATCGTAGTTGCGATGTCCCCGGTGGTTGCTGCGCTTCGCTCTGCTGTTTGATTATCGTTCTCCACGTATTGGATAAATGCAGAGCGTCGTCTCTCGTATTCAGGTGTTCGGACTATTTCCTATAATCCTAGTCCTAAAATCAGGAATATTAGCTATTTGTTTGCAAGTATCGAAATCAATTTTATGGCCTGTCTGACGTTGGTGCTGAAACAAAGCAGATGTTCTTTGTTTGTTTCTTATGGCTAAACGAGGTTGCTCGAGCCTGGCTGAAAACCTTCTGTTGGTCTGTCCCACATACGTCAGGCTGCACGATCCGCATGCTACACTGTATACTCCTTGGTTTTCCAGAGTAATTTTTTGTTTTGGGTTTCTTAGTATTGCTCCGATGGTATGGTCAGGTTTGTATGCCGTTGATATGTCGTGTTTCCGTAATATTCGACCGATTTTGTCAGTAATCCCTTTGATGTATGGCAGGACAGCGATCAATCTTCGTTGGGTCTCGTCCTGCACTGTCTGCTGCGGCTGTTGTTGTTTACTGATTGCCTTGCTGATGGTGCGCCTTTGGTATCCGTTTTGTCGAAGACAGGTACTAATTTTCTTCAGTTCTTGATCTCTGTTCCTCTCGTTTGTGAGCGAACGGATTATATCCCGGGATATAGTGTCATCACATTTTTCCATCCGTGAATCAATAAGTGAAAATATATATATATATATATATATATATATATATATATATATATATATATATATATATATATATATATATATATATATATATATATATATATATATATATATATATATATATATATATATATGTTATATCCGGAAATCCTATTGTCCACATGGGTTAAATGCCACCGACCTGCAAGAGTGCAACGATTGCGAAAACGTCGTGTCAACGATATGTCGCAACATCCGCAGCCGTCGACCCCGTCAACGTCAGCATAAATTTATTATAAATACGAATTTCTATTGTAAAACATTGTCTGATAACATTCTCTCATCACGAGGTTATTATGTCCATTTTTAGTTTGATTTTAACGGTCTGATAACATTCTCTCATCACGAGGTTATTATGTCCATTTTTAGTTTGATTTTAACGGTCTAATAACATTCTCTTGTCACAAGGTTATTATGTCCAATATCATTTTGATTATAATTTTAATTTAAAGTTAATAAATATATTTTTTAAAAAGTTATTTTTGAAAAGTGAAATATAAAAATTGGCGCAGTCGGTAGGATCCGTTCACGTTGCTAGAACACGAGTATTCTAACTAGTGACGGCGGATTCCAATCCCCTAGACGGAAAGAAGAACCATCGCAGCCCAGTCGTGCCGGAACAAGGAACCTTCCATCACCGTTTCGAGAGGCAAGAATTCGGAGTAGGATCTGTTCACGTTGCTAGAACACGAGTATTCTAACTAGTGGCGGCAGATTCCGACCCCTAAATCTAGGGAACAACGAAGACAGCCCATCGTACCGGAACAAGGATAAACCCATCAACCGTCTCGAAAGGCAGCAATGAAAATAGTACTGTAAGTGTTAAGAATCGTTACGAATAATTTTATTTTTAATTCGCAACATTGTTGAATTTATTACGTTCGATTACCCAAGGTTGAAAATTACCTATTTATTGAATTTCGCAACGTAGAATCGTTCCGCGATAATTATTTTGATTAAATTTTAGTCTCCAAGTTTAACTTGGCAATATTTAAAACAAAAAATAATTGTGTTTGAACTTCTTATAAATTTATTTGCTTTTTCTTAAACCTAAAATAATGGCAACTCAATCAGACGAACCTAGTACAATGCTGGAAGTTGAACCATATAAACTTTCGGAAATTTTCTGTATCGTACCTGAATTTGAGGGTGACCAAATCTTTTTAGGAAATTTTATAAACGCGTGTGATTGTGCTTATAATATGGCAACAACGCAACAAAAAATTCTTTTAGTGATTCACATTAAAAATAAACTCCGCGGTAAAGCAGCTCAATTAATTAATTCTAGGAATCCTGATTCATATCTAGAAATAAAGAAACTATTAACTCTACACTTTGGTGATTCTAGAGATTTACCTTCCCTAATTCATGACCTTCAACGTCTTAAACAATTGCCCAATGAATCAGCATTAACATTTTTCAATCGTCTTCAAGTCCTAAATGCGAAAATGCATTCATGTGTTCAAAAATCCACCACATTAGGATCCAAAGAGCAAAAGGATGCTCAGATATCTTTAATTGAGACTATGACCCTTAATACACTTCTTACAGGTTTAGAACCTAGATTAGGTCAACTCATTCGTGCTAGTAATCCCACTTCACTTTTAGAAGCCCAAGCAAGGATTCGTCGAGAACTCCAACTCTCATATTTTGAAAATCAAAAATCTGTCAAATCAAATTCTCCTAAATCGCATTCTGCGAATATTCGAACCCCTCTTCAGCAACCTAAATGCACTTTGTGTAATAAAATTGGCCATACTTCAAATCAATGTAGAAGTACGCATCAGCATGTCAAACCAAATTTTTCGCAATATCCACAGCGACCTTCTAATTGGTTCCAACAAAGCAACATTAGCAACAACTCGATTCAAATACCGATGAAATCTTCAAACTCTTATCCTAAGCCACATTTTATGAATCCAAACCCGCAGCGAACTCATCACGTAAACTCAAACCCGATCTACATCGACGGTTATTCCGGAAATTCCCAGGAATTTTCACATGAAAATTACACTCTTCAAGAAGATAATGAACTTCAAAATCATTATTCTAACCATCCAGAAAACTGCGAACCAGAGCAGGATTTTCAAGAAAGCCCTTACGATATCCCACCAGACGAAATGTCTCCAGACCCAATTTTCGAAATCAATTCCCAAATTCAAACCCTGAATTTAGACAACATGAATCCCAATCTAAACTTTCCAGAACAGAACTTCTGTTAAACCCTCTTCTTACGGTAAATTCTAAAAATTTATACTATATTTTTGACTCTACGCAAAAATTCAAAATATTAATAGATACAGGCGCAGGTATTTCTATCTTTAAATATAAAACCGCTGAAAATTACAGAACACGAGTTAAGGAAAATATTACCATCCAAGGTATAACAAATCAAACACTTTTTATTAAAGAATCCACACTTATTCCATTCACCGATAACGACAAACATAAAGTCTATCTTTACGATCTTGACATCGAATTTGACGGAATTCTCGGTTTAGATTTTCTTGGTCGCTACCAATGTATAATCGATTTAAAGTCCAAAAAACTTATAACGAATTTTAAAACAATGCCTTTGCATAAAGTAGGACACGAATCTGTTCTTCCCAAAATTTGTAAAAAACCTGAACAAAATATTCAAAATCGAATTTCAATCGAACCTAGGACCGAAAGAATTTTCAAATTAAAATGTAGTTTAACAAACACAGACGCTATTCTCCACTCTCAAGAATGTGAAAAAGTTAGGTTACCTAATGCTTTAGTTAAAGTAAATAATAAAGGTGAATTTTTTACTACTGTTATTAACGCTAATGCTATCCCAAAAACTATAGATTTTTCAAATTTATCTATCGAACCTTTTAATACAAATCCTAACGAAAAAGAAATAAATAATATTTTCAATTTAAATCCTCAACCTGTTGATAGGCGCGGTATAATTCAATCCCAGTTACGCACCGATCATTTAAACGAAGAAGAAAAAGAATTAATAACACAATTATGTCTTGATTT